CTATATATCTTTGTGCTATTTCATTTTTGCCTTAAAATATAGGGTACTATAAAATATTAAGATTATCTCATTTTCATATTTTCTTTTTCTTTTTCTTTTTCTTTCACGTCATCTCATGTTTTTTTTTTTAACGTGAATAAGAGATTATTTTATTTTCTACGATATATGAAATATTAAATACTAATATATATTAAAAAATGTATTCACATGATTTGAGAAAACCAAAATATAATTTTATTCAGAAAAAATGTATAAAATTTTTATTATTTTTCCTATAAAAAATAATAAAGCTTTTTTTTATGATGAAGACTAATATAATATAAAATAAATTATAATTATAAAAAATTCTTTAAATGTTATAAAAAATCATATTTCTCACGTGACTTTTTTTCAATCCATTAAAATTCCAATCGAATACCAACGGATTTTTTTGTCCAAAAACAATCCATTAAAATCTTTTGAAATCTCAATCCAATACAGTCCCCTAAATTTCATTTTTTTCAAGTTTTGATTTGTGTTGTGAAGTTGTTTTCAAGATGATGTTCTATTAGGAATGTTTGAGATAACTTAAATAAAAACCTCTCCTTAAATAATCAACATAAAATCAATGAATCTTTATGTGGGAAAGTCATACGAAAATAAATAAATAAATTTAATATATTAAACAACAAACAATATAGAATGTGTTTTTTTTTGTACAATTTCCTTTTTCATTTTTATTTTCAGTTAATAAACAAATCAGCTTTTCAAATGTATATAAACTTTATTTAATTGAAAGATGAAAATTATAATATAAGTCTCTTAAGTCAAGGGGATATACATCATCTTCTATTGAGTTAATAAGTAAATTTGACCTTAGCAAAATTTGTAAAAATCCATACCAAAAAATAAAAAAAAAACCCCTTCATAATATCATCATGTGAAGTCTAATAAGGAAAAGTTTTTTCATTCCCTAATTTATCCATGGATTAGTTCATCAGCCAATAATAAATTTCAGGAAGTAAAATGAAAATTCATCCTTTTTATTTTAATTTCAAATTTGTCCTTAATGAAATTTGTATTTTAAATAAAAGTTAAAAAAAATTAAAAAGAATTCTTCATCCTATTCAATACTATTTTATACTTTATATTCATTGAAAAAAAGAGTAATGTCCTGAAAATATATTTAACTATAATTAACAAACAATAAATGACATAAGAATAAATTTCAAATACCTATGATTATGTCCTTTTTAATTACGGAAAGGGAATATTATCTTGTTTGGACCATCTTTTCCCACAAATTTGAAATGCATTTTGTCAAGTTTGGTGTTGCGTAATATTGAATAATTTAGCCATGCTTTCTACATTTGCTCAAGACATTTGAGATTTTTGAAATTATCTCTTTTTTTTAAAAAAAAATGTTTGAAATTCTCTTTACTTGTGCTCATGAGTGAATCTTCTACCCCTCTTTGCTTCCTTCTTTATTTTCAAATCAAACTAGAGCCTTTTCGTAGGAAATCTTCCTTGCATATTTCATGAGAAAATAAAATAAAAAATTAGTTAAAGATAGAAAATATATGTAAGTATGTATCCACATATAGAAAAAATTTACACCGGTGTAAGACTAAGAATTCTTACACAACTTCTTAATTGTTGATTTTCGTGCATCCAACGATTATAAATTAAGAATTCAAACGAATTAATCAATATTAATTAATTATTAATTACACTACAAATGACAACCCATGATTTTTGTCTATCAACGATTGAGATGTGGTGTAAGACTTTTTAGTCTTACACTGGTGTAAATCATGCCCTATATATATCATTCTAATCCAAGAAAAATATTAAAATAGATAGCATAGAAAATAAGGATTGAAACTAGAAAACTGATAACATAATCCTAATAAGGAAACTAATAAATAACATAGTATCCTAAAAAGAGTAACAAATCCTAATAAAAAGATATTATCTTAGAGATAAGATGTCAAAGAATCCTAATGAAGTAAAAAGAATCTTTAATATTTAATTATAGATATTTTAAAAGGTTTAAAAAATATTTGAGTCAATATATTTAAATAAAATGAAAAATTTATTACGTTGTTCCTTACGCTACGCCAAATTCGGAATTCGCTGACAGTTTAATAGAGTCGGTTGAAAAACCCAATGATAAAATTGGAAACCTCAAAAACTTAATCTCATTCTTGATATTGTTGGTATTGCAGTAAAAACCCTAAAATATAGAGAACAAAAAACCTTGCCTCAACCAGATTTTTTATTATTCATACTCTGAAAGTCTTTTTTATTCATGAGATTGAATTATTATTTTCTCTTTCTCTCTTTTTCTTCCTCTTTCTTTGGATTCAATGCTATGTAGCATAGAGGCTCTAGATATATATAAGCTCGGTAACTCGCTGCCATATCACCTCTTTCTAAATTTTGAGGTTCTTTTTCTAATTTTCTTCAATTTAGAATCTCTATGGTTTTATGCATAGTTTATTTCTAAGTCTCTCCGTTGTTTCATTTTAAATTTTTCTTTTTAAATTTCAGTGCTTGCCTTTGATTTGCCGTAATCTTTATCTCTGATTGGATTTCCTTGTTCAGTTTACATTCTGATTTGGATAAGTGTTGAAACTTAAGTCTTTGATTTTTAAATCAAAATTCATGCCTAAATAGTATGTGCATATTACCTGTTTGATAAAAAGCCTGAATAATGAATTAATGAATAGTACATAAATTTTCTGCTGCACAAACTTATTTTTGGGGCATTTATTTTTAAACCAACGGATTTTTTTGCCCAAAAACAATCCATTAAGATCTTTTGAAATCTCAATCCAATACAGTCCTCTAAATTTCATTTTTTTCAAGTTTTGATTTTGTGTTGTGAGGTTGTTTTCGAGATGATGTTCTATTAGGAATGTTTGAGATAACTTAAATAAAAACCTCTCCTTAAATAATCAACATAAAGTCAATGAATATTTATGTGGGAAAGTCATACGAAAATAAATAAATAAATTTAATATATTAAACAACAAACAATATATAATGTGTTTTTTTTTTTACACTTTCCTTTTTCATTTTCTTTTTCAGTTAATAAACAAATCAGCTTTTCAAATGTATATAAATTTATTTAATTGAAAGATGAAAATTATAATATAAGTCTCTTAAGTCAAGGGGATATACATCATCTTCTATTGAGTTAATAAGTAAATTTGACCTTAGCAAAATTTGTGAAAATCCATACCAAAAAAAAAATAAAAAAAACCCTTCATAATATCATCATGTGAAGTCTAACAAGGAAAAGTTTTTTCATTCCCTAATTTATCCATTGGATTAGTTCATCAGCCAATAATAAATTTCAGGAAGTAAAATGAGAATTCATCCTTTTTATTTTAATTTCAAATGTGTCTTTAATGAAATTTGTATTTTAAATAAAAGTTAAAAAAAAAATTAAAAAGCATTCTTCATCCTATTCAATACTATTTTATACTTTATATTCATTGAAAAAAAGAGTAATGTCCTGAAAATATATTTAACTATAATTAACAAACAAAAAATGACATAAGAATAAATTTCAAATACCTATGATTATGTCCTTTTTAATTACGGAATGGGAATATTATCTTGTTTGGACCATCTTTTCCCACAAATTTGAAATGCATTTTGTCATGCTTGGTGTTGCATAATATTGCATAATTTTGCCATGCTTTCTACATTTGCTCAAGACATTTAAGATTTTGGAAATTATCTCTTTTTAAAAAAAAAATGTTTGAAATTCTCTTTACTTGTGCTCATGAGTAAATTTTCTACTTTGCTTCCTTCTTGATCTTCAAATCAAACTAGAGCCTTTTCGTATGAAATCTTCCTTGCATATTTCATGAGAAAATAAAAAAAAAATTAGTTAAAGATAGAAAATTTATGTAAGTATGTATCCACATATAGAAAAATTTTACACCGGTGTAAGACTAAGAATTCTTACACCACCTCAATTGTTGATTTTTGTGTATCCAACGATTATAAATTAAGAATTCAAACGAATTAATCAATATTAATTACACTACAAATGACAACCCATGATTTTTGTCTATCAACGATTGAGATGTGGTGTAAGACTTTTTAGTCTTACATCGGTGTAAATCATGCCCTATACACACACACACACACACACACACACACACACATATATATATATATATATATATATATCATTCTAATCCAAGACAAATATTAAAATAGATAGCATAGAAATAGAAAATAAGGAGTGAAACTTGAAAACTGATAACATAATCCTAATAAGGAAACTAACAAATAAGATAGTATCCTAAATAGAGTAACAAATCCTAATAAAAAGATATTATCTAACAGATAAGATGTCAAAGAATCCTATTGAAGTAAAAAGAATCTTTAATATTTAATTATAGATATTTTAAAAGATTTAAAAAATATTTGAGTCAATATATTTAAATAAAATGAAAAATTTATTACGTTATTCCTTACGCTACGCCAAATTCAGAATTCGCTGGCAGTTTAATAGAGTCGGTTAGAAAACCCAATGATAAAATTGGAAACCTCAAAAACTCAATCTCATTCTTGATATTGTTGGTATTGCAGTAAATACCCCAAAATATAGAGAACAAAAAACCTTGCCTCAACCAGATTTTTTATTATTCATACTCTAAAAGTCTTTTTATTCATGATATTGAATTATTATTTTCTCTTTCTCTCTTTTTCTTCCTCTTTCTTTGGATTCAATGCTATGTAGCATAGAGGCTCTAGATATATATAAGCTCGGTAACTCGCTGCCATATCACCTCTTTCTAAATTTTGAGGTTCCTTTTCTAATTTTCTTCAATTTAGAATCTCTATGGTTTTCTGCATAGTTTCTTTCTCAGTCTCTCCATTGTTTCATTTTAAATTTTTCTTTTTAAATTTCAGTTCTTGCCTTTGATTTGCCGTAATCTTTTCTCTGATTGGATTTCCTTGTTCAGTTTACATTCTGATTTGGATAAGTGTTGAAACTTAAGTCTTCGATTTTTAAACTAAAATTCATGCCTCAATAGTATGTGCATATTACCTGTTTGATAAAAAGCCTGAATAATGAATTACTGAATAGTACTTAAATTTTCTGGTGCACAAACTTATTTTTCGGGCATTTATTTTCTAGATTGAAGGTAAAGAGGTCTTTTATTTGAATAACGAATTTAATTTTTATTTTATTCTTTTTCAAAGAACTACACTTCCTCCTAAATTTTTTAATAGCAGGGGTATTTCCACTGACTTGTTTTTTGTTTCGTTCCACCTCTCTCAAATGCTTATATTGCAACTTTGATAATGATATATAGTGGACATTTGTGTGAAATAAAGGAAGTTAAGGAAGTCTCTCATAATCAAACATCAAAAGAGTGCCTCAAAAAACTAAATCAGGTAATTATATTCTTGAAGATTATGGCAGAGAAATAAATCATGATAACCAATTGGGCATGAATGTATGTTATAATTTTTTAGCTGTTTATAATTTATTAGCTTGATATCTTTATAAATTCTCTTGCGAGGAACTTCTATGCTTATGTTGTCTTTAACTTTTTTATACTTTTCTTGGTATATGCTCCTTTGCCAGGGTGAGATAGCTTTGGCATTCAGAGATTTATTTAGGAAGTTATGGGCTCCTAAAGCAAGTCTCGTGGCACCAAGAACTTTCAAATCAAAGCTTGCTAGATTTGCACCTCAATTTAGTGGATTTAATCAGCATGATTCCCAAGTTAGTGCATCTTGCTTCTTCATGCTATTTCTTATAGGTTTTTAACTTTACGAGGTTAATTTCTCATGTACCCTTCTATTGTCTGCGATCATTTTTTTCTTCTACAGGAGCTTCTTGCTTTTTTATTGGATGGACTTGATGAAGATCTGAATCATGTAAAATGAAAGCCTTATATCAAAACTTGCTATTTTTCTCGTTCATGAGAACTAGTTTGGTCACCTTTTTCTTCCTAATGGTAACTCTTTGCCTTATGGATCACATTTATTATTTTATGTAGGGCCAATATAAATCAACTTTAGTTTGTCCCATTTGTAGAAAGGTCTCTGACATTTGATCCATTTATGTACTTATCGTTACCTCTGCCTTCAACACCAATGCGGACAATGATTTTATCTGTTGTTAGTAGTAGCATTGATGGAATTACTCAATTATCAGGGATTTAAAAAAAAACTAGTCAGTTACAATATGGAATGGATTGCAGAAAAAGATTAAGATTACTAGTCAGTTCTGTCTGTATAAGAATTTGGATTTTTGTTTGAGATTTTTATCAATGTCAATTTCTTAAAAGAGTTTGTCAACAGGGAAATAGACAAGGGAGAATTTAAGAAAGTGATGGCATTGATGTGATCTCAAAACAGACAAGGGGCTAACCACAGTGATGGCATTCTGCTTCCACATCTCTGATAATAGAAGTCTCGTGCAGTTTTACCATTGCTATTATATAATATATCCATATCCCGTTGGAAGAAAACTTTTATAATTTCATTGTGTCTCCTGATTCTTGAACACTATGGAACTTGCATATTCTATCGTTCGTATCTGGTAAAATGAAGCACTGGGAAAAAAAACCTTTGGATGAATGTATTAAACATATTACTTGCATATTAAGGTTGTTTTCGAGATGATGTTCTATTTGGAATGTTTGAGATAACTTGAAAAAAACCTCTGCTTAAATAATCAATAGAAAGTCAATGAATCTTTATGTGGGAAAGTCATACGAAAATAAATAATTAAATTTAAAGATATTCAACAACAGACAATATATGATGTGTTTTTTTTGTACACTTTACTTTTTCATTTTTATTTTCAGTTAATAAACAAATCACCTTTTCAAATATATAAACTTTATTTAATTTAAAGATGAAAATTATAATATAAGTCTCCTAAGTCAAGGGGATATACATCCTCTTCTATTGAGTTAATAAATAAATTTGACCTTAGCAAAATTTGTAAAAATCCATACAAAAAAAAAAACCCTTCATAATATCATCATGTGAAGTCTAACAAGGAAAAGTTTTTTCATTCCCTAGTTTATCTATTGGATTAGTTCATAAGCCAATAATAAATTTCAAGAAGTAAAATGAGAATTCATCCTTTTTATTTTAATTTCAAATTTATCCTTATTAAAATTTGTATTTTAAATAAAAGTTAAAAAAAATATTAAAAAATTCTTCATTCTATTCAATACTATTTTATACTTTATATTCATTGAAAAAAAGAGTAATGTCCCAAAAATATATTCCCCTATAATTAACAAACAAAATATGACACAGGAATAAATTTCAAATATCTCTGATTATGTCCTTTGTAATTACTGAAAGGGAATATTATGCTTGTTTGGACCATCTTTTCCCACAAATTTGAAATGCATTTTGTCATGTTCGGTGTTGCATAATATTGCACGTTAATTCTATGCATTACATCGTTTCGTTCTTTTGCCATGCTTTCTACATTTGCTCAAGACATTTGAGATTTTTGAAATTATCTATTTTTTATAAAAAAATGTTTGAAATCCACTTTACTTGTGCTCATGAGTAAATTTTCTACTCCTCTTTGCTTCCTTCTTGACCTTCAAATCAAACTAGAGCCTTTCCTTAGGAAATCTTCCTTGCATATTTCACGAGAAAATCGAAAAAATTTAGTTAGAGATAGAAAATAGATGTAAGTATGTATCCACATATAGAAATTCTTACACCACATCTCAACTTTTGATTTTCGTGCATTCAACGATTATAATTAAGAATTCAAACGAATTAATCAATATTAATTAATTATTAATTATACTACAAATGACAACCTATGATTTTCCTCCATCAACGGTTGAGATGTGGTGTAAGACTTGTTAGTCTTACACCGGTGTAAAAAGATCATGCCCTATATATATATATATATATATATATATATATATATATATATATATATATAGGCAAGATATTCTTACACCAGTGTAAGAGTTAGATGTCTTATACTCAATCTTGACCATTGATCCACTTATATCCAATGGCTCACATTACTAAAAAATTAAAGCTCTTTGATATAAGTGGCATCAACGAACAAGATTGAGAGTGTAACTTACATTGGTATAAAATGATCTTGATATATATATATATATATATATATATATATATATATATATATATATATATATATATATATATATATACTTCTAATCCAAGAAAAATATTAAAATAGATGGCTTAGAAAATAAGGATTGAAACTTAAAACTGATAAAATAATCCTAATAAGGAAACTAATAAATAAGATAGTATCCTGAAAAGAGTAACAAATCCTAATATTTATTAGAAAGTATCTAAGGGGGCGTTTGATAGAGGGAATATTTTTTTTTATCCGGGAATCATGATGTCTGGGAATATAATTGAAAAACAACTTTTCCGGGAATGTTTGCAAAAAGGTGTTTGGTATGCAGAAATATTTGTGGGAATATTTGATGAATTTTCACATTACTATGTTTGGTTGATAGTAAAATTTTAGTGGGATTTTGGGTTGAATTTACAAATGTACCCTCCTTTTAATTTTTTTTCCATTTTCTTACATCGTTCATATCCTATCACAACGTTCAACCTTGCTCAGTACTTGATACCAAAACAAGCCTGTGAGAAAGTCGCTTTTATGCCCATAATGGTACATAAAAAATCTTTTATGTAAAAGAAAACTAAAAGTAAAAAAAAAATGCTGAGTGATTGAAATAAACTTTAATTATGTAAAACTTTTTAATATAAATATAAAAATATATCAAAGTGTAAATTCATAAATATAAGGTAATGTTTATACAATATTACCTTTGATATGCTGTGAACTTGACATGCTTAATTACCCCTATATTACTGAGTAAAACTATGACAAATCATTGTTGAGCACTTAAGCTACATGATCAACAGTAAGATAAGTAGTATTTAAAAAAAAAAAACAGCAAGTGTTATGCGCACCATACACCAAAAGTTGCAAATGGCAATTTTCAGTATTAAAAAAATAACAGGTGGACCTTATAATAGGCAGGGCCATGTCATTCGGTAAGACAATTCATGACAAAAACAAGCAAGATATTTCTCGGAACTCAGCAATAATATCTGATCAAATCGACATTTGACGATAGAAGAAAATTGACATGTGTTTGAACTCATCTAATAAAAAATGCAGAATAATACTTGCATTACTTCGGTACCGTAATTTTACACTCATATCCTTTGGAGTTGGTTATATACACCAACTTACTGAACAAAAACAAATGTATGACTTATAGATTTTAACCAATCTAAACATCAATGGGTCTACTCATATCCTTCATAATGAATAGGTCCACCCAAAAAATTGGCCTGAGTCAATTTTTATGCGTTCAGCACATGCCATCAAACCTATGTGTACTCATTCAATAACACATGACAACATCACGATGAATATCAAGTAATACATCCATTCAATATGAAGTTATCTACAGGCCAAGCTCGGGAAAATTTGCTGATAAAATCATTTCACATTATAAGGTTTAGAATTCATATCAGACATAGTAATAAGATTACAAAGATATACTATCCAAAGTATCCTTATATAACAACAGCAGGTGCATTACAAAAAAACCAAGAAGGCAAATTTCCATTGAGAGTCATAAATGCATCCATTCGTTCTTGTAATATCACTATGAAGTCATTAAGCTTTTATAAGGACCATATTCTTCTCCTGCATTTATGATCTGCAATGCAAAAGAACCTCACTTTAAAATGTGCCACAACTAAATTCACGAAAACATCTCTGAAAGTAGTTAAAATCAGGCACAACAAATTACAGACCCCAATAATTGTGTATAAGCATAATCAAGTTTTACAGTTATACATATGCCATCAAACATGTGAATAAGATCATACCAGGTTCGTGCCTGTCGTGGTAATAGTTACCATTCGAACTCCAAAAAGCCTTTTCCTCTCATGACATTGACTTCATAAAGTGCTTTCAAAAAAATATCCCTTGAGCCAGACTTCCCAAAATATTGATCACCACCAAAATTATATTAATAGATATAGTGAACTCCAAAAAAAAATCAGTGGACAAACACTAAGATTTATACAATAAAGAGGCCACTATGTACTGCCTCTCCTCATCATTTCCTTGCATGAAGACATCTGTTATTAGGGGATCCTTGCCCATAAGCATTCCAACTTGAACCCTTTGTTCAACACTCAACTGTTCAATTTTTTTTAACTCTTGCAGAATAGACATCCTTCGGTTGCTTCCCTCTGCCTGATGCTGAAAGCAAGATACCAACTTGTCTAATTTATCATTAGTGGCAACATAATTCTGGCTAAGGTCATTAATTGCAACAGTCACCTCACTAGGCAGGGGATCCTCACATCTACCTCTTTTCTTACCCCTTTTTGTAACCGAAACAGACACTGGAGAATGTACAGCCCCTTCTTCTGTGATAGTCTCAGGCAATGGAGGCTCCCAATTAGGTGTTGGTGTATCGTCACCAAGAAGATTATAGATATCATCATATCCAGTCCCACTCTCAGCAAATAATGCAGCTTCTGTATCCATGTGTGAAGCAGCATCTTGGGCACCCTCAGCATGATTTCCTGTGGCCATATCTTTTCCAAAAATTGGACCCAATTGATGGAAGTAGGGGAATGGCTTCTTGTACAGCCCTTTCGCATTTGGATGTGACTAAAAAAAAATTCAAAAAGCATGTTGTTATAATTGGTACAGAATTATATAATGTCAATCAAATCAATTTACATAATAAACATATACAATAATTCACCTTAACCCAATCTGCAAATATTTCTTTGTCCACTTCAATCATCTGATCTCTCTCATTCCAACCAAAGCCAGATCCGCCATTGGTCCCGGTCATTTCAGAGATTGCGTTATAGTGTTTTTTCAGGAGTTTAATCCTCGATGTGATATGAGGATTTGCTTTAAGGATACATCCAGGCAGCATGCGCTGCATCATCTTCTCTATATGAATAGGGAATCCAGCCCGAAAACCATTATCACCTTTCCAAGCTGGACCTGCCTCGAGAAGACAATCTACTAGGATCTTGTCCTCTTCAGCTGTCCAAGTATGATTCACTCGTTTCTGGGTTTGAGTATTCTCTTCAGCCATCTGCAACAAAGCATTAAAAACAGTTCTGCTTTCGGGAAAAACAATACAGAAATTGAGACAATAATATGTAATACATTACATAATGGGACATGCTAACTATTACATATCACAAGTTGAAAACAGTACATTAATTCAAGTCTTGGCAGCCTCACCAAGTATACATAAGGTATGCGAATAACAGTCACAATGACATAACAAATAACAAAATCAAACACTATTCCTCCACGTGTCAAACATATGCTGAGCCATTTCATCACGTCCACGTGTCCAAGCATTAGATGACTCCACATGGGTTATCATGTCACACCCTTCGAAGTTATCTTCAGCTTCATGAATGTCTACCATTTCTTCCTCTATTGGGTCCATTGGCATTTCTCTTCGTATATGATTATGAAGCAAGCAACATGCAGTAATAATCCTACATTGCGTCTTAATCGGGTAAAAGGACTTTGATCGTACAATGGCCCAACGACCCTTCAACATCCCAA